AAAGTAAAACACTTTAGTAAATAAGGGTAAATATGAAAAGATGATATTGATTTAAAGATAATTAACTATTTTATTGAAGGGTGAAATTTAGTTAAAAATTACTTTATATTTTTTAATGGAGGGAGTATGTTACATGGATCTTTCTTATATGTTCATGATTTTATTTTTATCCACCCTGACAATAATTTATTGTTAACTTACTAAATTTAACTTCTTTTTAACTAAACTAATTTCCATGACATAAATATTTTCACTTATATTTTCAACTCTTTTTGCAAACTTTTTAACTTTCAATATGACTTATTTTCATTGTATGAAAACTTGAATTAGACCTGTCAGTTTAGCTCGTGAACTAGTGAGTCAGTCTCTGTTTTTTTTTCTAAATTTTCACCTAAACCAGCCAACCACTGACCTGGTGTGACTTGGCTGACCTAGGGTTAACCTGTCTAACCCAGTAGCCAGGTTGCTGGGTCAGCCAGGTTACTTTTTTAAGTTTTTTAATTTTTATTTTTTTAAAAATTGTAAAACTAAATAAAAAGTAAAAAATTCAGCTTGAAAAATTAAAAAAGCGAGGCAATGGAAGGTAAAGCAATTAAACTAGATTTCACTATTTATATTTTAAACTTCGAATAGAGGGCCTTAATTGTAAGTTCAAACTTAAAAGATTCAATATTTTTTTAAGTTAATTGTGCCTTGATTACTTTAATCTTTCATTATTTGCTATTGTTTATTTGTCTAATTGTTGCTTAGCATTTATGAATTATGACTATCATTGTTGATGATTTTAGTATCACTAATGATTAGTTTTAAACTTTTTAATGATTAAAGAGTTGTAAATTGTAATTATAAGAATGAATATTTAAAAAGTTATATTTTATTATTGTTAAACTTTTGGGTGGTTGTAATTCTATAATTATTATATTTGTATCTTGTATTAGAGATTAATCTTGAATTTGGTTGAATATTTTCATGATTGATGTCTTTTTTATTTAAATTGTATTATTTTAATTATAATTGGTTTGCCCTCGAGGTTGTCCCCTGATTCAATTCAAATTGAACCACTAACCTGTAATCTGTCGGCTTAATCGGTCTGATTTTCAGTACCTTACTTATTTTTTATTTTAACATAAAGTCTATCAATTTATAATTTTACATTTTTATAATTTATTTAAATATTAGTATACTCAATTATTTCAACTTTGTAGTAGATTTTGATAGTGAATTAATAATTTTAAACTTTTAATATAAATTTTAATTAACAAAAATTTATTTAAAATTTTAAGGGAATATTCTTAACAATATTAAAAATTAGATTAACGTATGGATTTTGAAAGAAACAAAAAAGTTACTATAATTTTATCAAAATTGAAGAGAGATCACTGTATTGTATCCTAAAATTGAGGTGCAAAAAAATTCTGAAGTAATTAATCTCTAAACAATAAATTGAGTCATGGAGAAAAAAAAAATCTAACTAAATGAATAGTTAAGGGAGAATAACAAGTAAGAATCTTGTAATAATATTAATATTAAATTATAAATTTTAGTATTGAAATATGGTAGAAGGGGTATTGAAATTTGTCTAATGTTAATGTTAAAAAATTCCAATTTAATATTAATATTTTTATAAGGTCCTTATTTATCATTCTCTCTAAGTAGCTAAACGAGTAAATTGAGATGCAGAGAAAACAATTAAAAAAGGTCAATTGTTAAATGAAAAAATAAGAATAAATTGAGATAAATATCACTTTCACACCCCCAATTTTGCCTCACTTATCCATTTGGTCCCTAACATTTTGTTAAATTGTCATGTTAGTTGTTTAAATTTTAAAATAAAAATTGCTCTCAAATCAATCTATTGTGTAAAATATATTGATATTTTGACATGTATATGTCATTCCTTACTTTGCGTTTTGTTCTTCTTCTTTTTTTTTAATTTTTGACTATGTTTTTTCTTATCCAAATAATTACACTTCTTTTACTAATTAACATGGCTATAATTAAAATTTTGCTATCTATGTTAATAAATTTTAATAGTGTTATCTCCTCTTCAAACAATAAGAATAAAATCAATAACAAATGCAAACTTTGAGGATGAACTTGATAAAAATTAAATTTAAGAGACTAAATCAATAATTGAAGTAAAATTTGAGTCACTAAAATTTTTATTGGGCCTAAAAACAAAATTCAAACGAGTTATGGATTTAGCATCAGAGGAACCCCTGAAAGTTACCTCATAGGATGTATAAAATTACACCATTTTAGGTCATGTTTGGTATAGTGAAAGTGTTTTTTTAGGAGAAGAAAAAGGAGAATTGAAATTAGATGGGGCAAGGGAAAGGACATTCAATTGTATGTTTTCTTGAGGAAAGGTCCCTATAATTTTACCATTGAAATTAAAGTAGAGAGAATATTTCTATAATTTTTCTATGTATTGTATTCTAAAAATAAATTGACATGTAGAGAAAAGAAAGTCGAATGAATTAATTTCTAAATAACAAACAAGGTAAATTGATATGTAGAGAATAGAAATTCAAATGAATTAATCACTAAATGAAAAAATTAAAAAAAATGATATAAAGAGAACAAATCAAATGAAGTACTTTTTAGATGACATATGAGGGAAAAAAAAAAACTGAGGTGAAAACCATATCCAAATGAGTTATTAATTGAAAAACACAGGAACAATGGAAAGTTACCTGATGGTCTAAAAAAAATTACATTATCTTTGGTGCATGTTTGATAAAATGAAAATGTTTTTTAAGGGAATGAGGAAAAAAGGAATTGGAATTAGATGGAGCAAGGGAATCGACATTCAATAAATTTAATTTGTTTGCCATATTGAGGAGAGGTCTTTACAAATTTACAATACAAACTAGAAAGAAGGTTTCCATGATTTTAATAAAATAAAGAAGAGGTCTCTTACTCTCTGTATTGTATTATACAAATAAATGGAGATTTAGAGAGAAAAAAGTCCAAATGAGTTAATCACTAAACAACAAATAAAAATAAATTGAGATACATAGAGAAGAAATCCAAGTGAATTAATCATTAAATGACAAATAACAATTGTTTGAGTTTAAAGTTGAAGCGTCAATCCAACAAAAGGAACTAAGGTAAAGAAATGATATGCTCAGGAGGCATAGCTCAATCTATTTTTGGGAGAAAGGCGTGCCATGCAAGAGCTTAATGTGCCATGCAATACCCAGGATGACTAGACGTACGAGACTGTTAAGAGGATATGGTGTGACATGCCACAAATTTCATTGATCGTGCTAAGAGATCCTTAATATTTTGCAAATTGGCTTTAGATCTTGTGGGAGTGGCGGTCTCAATTACATACTTAGAAAAGGAACAAAGGGTTGCAAGAGGAGACAAGCCAATCAATTAACAATATCTACTAGCACTTTTAGTATTTCAATATCCAAATTTACCTTGCATTCTCAAATAGTTTCAAAATCATTTCCAACATTGTGATCTTTACAACTCTGCACTTTGCATACTTATTAATTAAACACTCTTTTATTTTGATTTTTTTGCATTTTTTACGTCTATGTAAAATGTGGTAAGAAAGTCTGTAAATCCTTTGTTATTTTTTAAGACACAGTATCTATAGCGCACCTAATATTTGTTAGTTGCAAAGAACAATAATAAATTGAGATGCAGAGAACATAAATCCAAATGAACTAATCATTAAATGACAAATAAAAATAATTTGAGATGTAGAGAACAAAAATCCATAAATTGAGATTGAGATGTAAAGAAAAGAAATCCTAACAAATTAATCGCTAAGCAACAAATAATAATAAATTGAGGTCAAAACAAAATCGAAATCAGTAACGGATTGAAAACCACAAGAAGCATGGAAAGTTACCTCATTGCTCAAGGAAAATTACATTATTTTAGGTCATGTTTGGTATAACGAAAATAAGTCCTTAAGGAAATTGGAATTTGAAAAGATAAGGGAAATGGCATTCAATAAAACCAATTTGTATGTTTTCCATTTTTTGGTATGAAAAGAAGAGGTTATATGAAGATAAAAGTTTTTAAAAAGGTACATGATATAAGTTTTAAAACAAATAAATAATAAATAATTAGTCTTAAACTATAAAACAAGGTTATCTTTGTCATTGAAATTATATTTGATAGAAGTTGGCTTTTCAATTTTTTCAACCTAGCAAATGCACTAAGCTACTAAAAATTAAATCAGTTATTAAATTGGTTAATGGTTAAAATTGTAATCAGCTATGAGCAAACCAATTAAAACAAAACATTTTTATTAAATTGATTAATATATTAGTTTAACAATTTATCAATTTAATTGGTTGGGCTAACTCAAATTTTTACATGACTTGAAATGAACAGATATAATTAATTTAAAAATAAATAATTATTTTATTAGAGTAATATTTAATTAAAAATGTACATTATTTCAGAACGAATGGAGTATTTTTTTTTAGCAAATTCACATTATTTTGATGACTTCAAAATTATTATTATTACAAATAGACTGCGGCAGAGAGCCTGCGCTTAGGTTATTTTTATAAATTTTATTAAATAATGATGATATATTGATTTTTGAATTGTCACAAGAGGTAACTAAATCTAAAAAAAAAAAAATCAATTATTTTATTTTAGAAAACACAAACGCATGCATCGCGCACACATACACACTCACACAATCACTATGCAGTGCGGGCAGTTTTCGAAAACCCGGTTCACGAGGGACATCTACTCGTTATTCCAAACAAGTGACAAGGACTCTATAGTCATTTCAAAAGAAAAAATGGATTTCGACCGCCGGTTATTGGTCTCGACACGCGTCATAGATCGAAAGACTAGAGTGTTTGCTTCGGTGCATTCGCGGCCACTCTAGCTACCTGCGTTCCCCAAATGATCATGCCGCGTGGGATCATACGTGGCAGTGTCAGTCCATGTCATATCAGCTTCCTCGCAGTATAAAATCGCAAGCGCACCCGCACAAACTATCACCGAATCCTAATTGCTCCGCACCACAACAACAGAGGGGTCCCTCAGAAGCCTTCTTGTTTGCCTTTTCACCCCCTTACCTCGCTTCACCGTGGTGCGTCGCCGGCGATCGTCAACTCGCTGGAGAGATGAATATTCCGGCGAGCCTTTCTTCTTTATCGATGAACAATGCTCGTCTCTCCGATCATCGCCGACATGCTTTTCACGAATACCCTGGCCTTGAAATGGCGATCTCCTTTTCTCGCTTTTTCTAGAAGCGATTCGACGCTTCTTCTGCGTGGCTTGAGGAAAGTATCGGTTTCTCGGTGTCGCGTCGGGTCATACATAAGTTTTGGTAGATTTTTCTGCTTTTCTGTTTGTTAATCGGTGGAAAGTGAGTCGGTTCTGTGAGTGCTCATTTTTTTAGCTGGCCGGAGAGTTTTTGGTGATGAATGTTTGTTGACTCGGTTACTGCTTGGATTTGCTTAGTATTCTAGCTTGATCTTGTTCTTCTTCCTTGAAAAGAGAGGAGTCCTTAATTTCGATGTACATTTTCAGAATCTGTGTCTGACTCTGTCGCTTTAGGTACTTGGCCCTTTTTTTTTTTTGAGCAAGTGAAGTTCATTGAGCTCTGAAAATGGAGCAGAGCTGACGCAGAGTGGTACAGTTTAGTGTAATTACGAGGTTGTGAAAGAGAGAGGTAGAAAGGAACCAGGTTTTCAGATCCTTTTCTTCAAAAATTTCTCAGCCATGCCTCCGATGAAAATACAGCCAATTGATATCCCTGTCGATTCACAGAAACTGAAAGATGCAGTTGTAAGAAATGATGCGGCGAAACCAGTGTTGAAGTCGCGGCTTAGGAGGCTGTTCGTGTTCGATCGGCAGTCTCCAAGCGTCTTGAAGACTGCCTCGGCGGAGAAATCCATCGCCGGTGAAGCTCCGAATCAGAAAGATGGAGGAGGAGGAGTGTCGGAGTTCGAGCCGAGCTCCGTTTGCCTGGCTAAAATGGTGCAGAATTTCATAGAGGAAAGTAACGAGAAACAGCCACCAGCACAGAAATGCGGTCGCAATCGCTGCAATTGTTTCAACGGGAACAGTAATGATAGCTCCGACGAGGAATTCGACTTGTTCGGTACTTTCGGCGAATCAAACTCCGGCGGATCATTCAGTGATGCCACCGACGTTCTGAAGGTAAATGTCGCAACCTCACCCTGCGTCTTCCTTACGATTTTGAGATGGAATCGCAAAATCTAAAGCTTAGATGGTACCGAAATTTTCGCAAATTCAGATTTTCTGTCATTGTCCTAGAAACCAAGCAAAGCAAAACACTAAAGCTGAAATTAATTTTCCCTTTCCCTTTTCCTTTTTCCAGAGTTTGATTTTATGCGCTAGTGTTGCCGAGAGGAACCTGTTAGCTGATACTGCGAAGATCGTTGAGGACAACAAGGTCCATAAACGAAAAGATGATCTGAGAAAAATCGTTACAGAAGGCCTTTCTTTGCTTGGCTACGATTGTTCCATCTGTAAATCCAAATGGGACAAAACCCCATCTTGCCCAGCTGGTACACTTTTCTTCCTCAAATTTCTCTCACATTTTTTAAAGAAATTTCAATTGGAAATAGAAATTTAAGAAACAGAAATTCCATCTTTGATTGTTTTTCAGGTGAATATGAGTACATCGATGTCATCGTTGAATCTGAGAGATTGTTTATAGACATCGATTTCCGATCAGAGTTTGAGATAGCTCGATCGACTGGTACCTACAAAGCCATCCTTCAATTATTGCCACAAATTTTCGTCGGAAAATCAGATCGTCTAAGTCAGATCATATCGATCATATCGGAGGCGGCGAAGCAGAGCCTGAAGAAGAAAGGGATGCACTTTCCGCCGTGGAGGAAGGCCGAGTATATGAGAGCCAAGTGGCTCTCTTCTCCCTACACTAGGACCAATCAACCCCCATCGTCCTCTTCCACCGTCCCATCCGACGTCGTTTCGGAATCGCAGACCTCCCAGAAGGGGGACGTGATCGGCGACGGCGACGATGACTCCGCGACGGCGGAGGACGATTGTGGCGAGTTGGAGTTGATTTTCGGCGAGAAAACCTCTCTGCCGGATCCTGAGTTGGAGGATGGTCCCGGCGACGAGACAGTCAAGCCGGCGGTGGTTGTTACGGCGTCGCCGTCATGGCAGCTGCCGGCGATCAAACCGAAGAGTATTGAGAAAGGAACAAAGGTCGTCACCGGATTAGCCTCTCTTCTCAAAGAGAAACCTTCCGTCTAAAATTTTGGGCTTCGAACTTTTTTTTTTTTTTTTAAGCTTTCTCCCTAATCCTTTAATTTTAAAAATATATAATGAGAGAAAAAAAAAGATCGGATAAATCTCTCTCTCTCTCTCCTCTTTTTTTTTTTTTGTTTTGAGATATGTAAAGGATGTAGGGAGAGGCTTTGTAAGAAGCAACTATATGATCAATGTAATAAAATACATTGTAGAAAGGGGAAAAAATTATGTACAAATTTTGAAAACCCTTAGAATGATAATTTTATTTTTTCTAAAAAAAAAATAGTTCACCAACAAAAGAAAAGGTATCAAACTTTTTTCTCCGTTCCCCCAAACGTCAGTTTCATAATATTTTCAATGCACTTTTCTAAATAAAATTCTTATTTATTAGCTCAACAACTGTGTAATTGATTTATTTATTTGACGGGATGTGTAAATTAGGTCGGAGGTTGATATCTTGAGACTCTGCAGAGAGTGGACATCGAGTAATGGACAATTTTTTTTTATTTATTCTCACTGAAGGGTGTTTACTGTATCGCCATTTATAAATAATCCTTTTAATTCTTAAGATTCAACAAGATAAACAGTAAATATTATATCAAATATTCATTGACAAGAAATTATATTATTTGGAATTTAATTATATTATTTACATATGATATAGTTTTGTACTTCACCGGGTTCTAATCTATATATACACGTTACTCTTAATTAATTCACCAAAATGAAGAAGATATAATAAAATGATTGATATCAAAAATTTTAAGTTACTTTTGTTATCTTTAAAAATATTTTTCTCTCTCTCAATCGTTCACTTTACCTATGAAAAATTGTTAGGGGTGAAACTGAAAGAAAACAATTTTTTTTATTTTTTTAACATAAAATAACTTATATGCATATGTAAAAAAATAAAATGAAGTAGCGTTTTTGGTATAAATTAAAATAATTAAAAATTATTGTCAAGTGTTAAACAGTAAAGGTAAACCTTACTAAAAATAATTTCAATTCATATTTTATTCTAATGATTTTCTAATTTAATAACAAATAAATAATTATGAATTTTGAGTTCTTTTACAAGGCAAAGAGTGAGTGGGGGAGAAATGGTGCCGCCGGCTGTAAGAACGCTCGTGGCATCTAGAACACCGTGAGGAGGAGGCAAGCACAGACCCAAGACAAAAAAATAATAATAATAATAAATAAATAGTTTTTTGAAAAAAGAAATATGAAAAAAAAAATATTCCATTCCTGTATGTGTTTTGAAGAATGAAAACTTTAAAAGTGCTGCAAAAAGTTAAAAAAAAAAAATAAGAACAAAAAAGTGAAAAAGTGAAAATCTCCAATCCGCCTTTATCTTACCAAAGCCTGAAAAAAAGAGAAGTGGAGAGGAATATGCCAATTATAAACGTGCATGTAAATATATATATATATATATTTTACCTGTATTAGACTTATCAGAGCAGAGTACCAGTCACCAGTCAGTAAATATTACATCTTTCAATTTTTTTAATCCCCCAGTCAGTAAAAAATTATAACCCACGTGAGACTTCTTCATGAAATTCACGCCCAGTACCCGAAAAAAAAAAAAGAACAAAAACAAAAAATGACACGCAGATTGTGTATGAAGGCGGGTGTGTAATGTGGTATTGAGTTTTAGGTCAATTGAACAGTTTAACCAGTGGACTGTTGAATAATATCTTAACCAATTTAATTAAATATTTTATTTATGATGAATTTGGTTATAGTTTATTCCGTCCATTAAAAAATATAAAATATTTTTAATTGAATAATAAAATAATTACTTACTTTCAAACTAACTCTATTTTTTATATTTATTTTTATTAAATATCCTACAATAGATATAAAGTAATTATCAATAAAGATACTTTTAAAAAAAGATAATAATTACATTTGAAAGATTAAAAATATTTTATATTATTAAATGATTATATTTAACGGAGGAGGTAAGTATAATTTTTATTATTAATTTTTGAACCAATCTCTTGTCCAATTTAATAAAAGGTTTGGTTTTTAATACTTTCTCTATCCTCATTTATAAGACATTTTTTGAAATGATGCATTATTTTAAAATATAACATACTTTAATAAAAATAAAGTTTTATTAATTATTCTTGTTCAAATATTACGTTCCATTTTTATTGTATTTTCTTTCTATATGTATTTAATATTTTCAAAATTTAAATAATATTAAATAAAATATATTTTAAAAAATTATATTTTTATTTAAAAATAAAATAATTTATTAAATAAATTTTATTTATATATATAATTTTATCAAAAAGTATCTTATTTTGTGAGCCCATGGGAGTATCTTAATGTGTGCATTTTTTTTCTGTATAAAAAAATCATGCACCCATTGATAAACGTAATTTTGTGTATTTTTATATTTTAAATGGTGAAGATGACGGTTGAAAAGGTTGAAAAAAGTGAGAGAATAATTTTGACCATCTTGGTTCAACAACCCACTGTGCACCAATTTTGGAAGTTTATTTATTTATTTTTAATATTTTTAGAAATATATGTAATACGGATTTGAATTTTTAATAAATATTTTTAATAAAGATAAGTATTGTTTTAGCTCAGTTGGCTAACCAAAGAGATGAAATTTTACTTTTCCATTCATGCTTTTCTAAGTCAACAAAGTTTTGAAAACAACTTAAGTGACTAAGTGAACATTTACTTCATTATTTCTCACTAAATATATCTCCAAATGTGGAATATTTTTGGGTAATACATAATTAGAAGTATTTTTGAAAGCACTGTTAAACTGTAAAATTTATGTTGACCTTCAACTCTTTTATCCAACACATTTTAATTTTTTTTAGCCAAAAAAAACACATTTTAACTTTTTGTTTAATATTTAACTTTTTGGTACCATTATTGTGTATAAATATCTTTGGAGATTGTGACAACAACCACATATTATGTAATTACAACCTTGGGCGTTTCCTATTAACTCAGTTACATCCACAAAATTTAAAAAAATTATTTATTTGAATTATAAGTGCCTAGACATATTTTTTGCTGCGTTTTTTAGAGTGTGAAAACAATATAGTTTATCATAAATATTACACATTCAATTAAAAAAATGTAAAGTATTTTTTTAGAGTTTAGTGTTTTAAATTATAATTAACATACTTTTTTGAAAAGCTTCACTAATAAATAAATTACTTTAAATTTATTTTAAAGTAAAATATTTTGTTAAATATGAGTAAATATGAAAAGCTAGTACTCTTAGCTTGAAAATAATTAAGGGATGTGATTGAATTAAAAATACTTTATATTTTTTTAATAAATAAGGTAGATCTTACAGAAATGATTTGTTTTGGCTTTATTAGAATTTAATTTAATTTGGTCATATTTAATTAGGCAAGTGAGAGATATAATATATAACACAAAATTATTTTATTTATTAAACAATACTTTTCCCATTAAAAAATATAAAATATTTTTGAGGAGTTGAATATTTAAAAATATAAAATATTTTAAATTTTTTAAGCTATAATCACTACTTTTTTTAAAAAAATATTCCTATTAAATATATTACTTAATTTTTTTAAAATAAAATATCCTATTAAATAAAAATAAATATAAAGAATAAAATTAATTTAATATGTAATTATTACTTTTTAAAAAATATTTTATATTTTTTAATGAAAAGAGTTTAATTTTTTATAAATTTATACTTTTTTATATATTAGTACGTAGTTTTTGCGGAGTATGCATTTTTATTATTTATAAAGGTGCAACTGTAAAACAAAATATACGGACACATAAGTCATTCACAATCATTGATGTGGGCCACACCGTAATCCATTACATATATTATTAATTATTTATTATTATTTATAAAAATAATACTATGCAAGATGGGTGGGACCAATCAGAGAGCTGTCAGAACTAATACAAGAAAGGTTGTGGGTCCCCACTCTACTCTCTCTCTCTCTCACATAGCTCTGACAAGCGACAATTATTTATATTTAATAATATTATTTATGAAATTATGTTTATATAAATATATCCACTCAGAATTCTTTATTGGTTTCACAAAAGAGATTTCATCTCTGGTTAATTTAAGAAGAATGCTGAAAATTTTGCGGAAGTACAGTCTTTTGTGAAGTTATTATTTTGAGGCATTGAAAAGAAACTCTAATTTTTGTATAATTTGTTTTCAAAATATCTCCATCTTTAAAAATGTGATGAAAAAAAAAGAAATTCTTGTCAACTGACATAACAATAAGTCTTAAATTCAAATCCAATGTTAACACAATTGCGTGCATGGGTGGGTGTGTCTTCTTTTTCTGTGACAAAGGTTAATTTAGGGGTAAAATTAAAAAATATAAAGAGAAATTCTTGTAAAAACTTAGTGCAAAATATCATGAATGTTTTGTTCAACGAAAATATATCATAGTATATAGTTGTACAGGGGAATTGATTGTGTTATTAGTAATGATAACAATAGAAAATATAAGAAATTAAAAATAAACTTTATTTTGAAAATAAAACCATTAAAAATAATGAAACATAAGATTTTATTTTATTAACTAGTATAACATAACATATTTTTATTAAACAAAGTATAGATGACGTGATGTACTGAATTCATGTGAGAAATTTTTATAAAAATAATAATTACTAACTCATTTATCTAAGAAATAAATAATTTTATCTAGTAAAAATAGATTTTTTTTTACCATCAATCGTAGAAATAGACCAGAAGTCATGCGTAAAATTTATTTGAGATTTGATATAATAGTAGTCATGAAGTTAAATTATTTGATTAAAAAATGAATTATCTATATATATTTCCTCCGTTTAAAAATATAAGATATTTTTAAAGAGTTAGATATTAAAAAATATAAGGCATTTTTAGTCTTTTGAGGTGTAATTATTTTCTTTTTTTTTCAAAAATATTCCTATTAATAATGACTTTATATTTATTATAAGATGTTTAATAGGGATAAATATGAAAAAATAAAGTTAATTAAAAATTAGTTAATTATTTTATTGAAGGGTGAAATTTAATTAAAAATGTCATATATTTTTAAACAGTCTGTTGTTCTTCAAAGTATAACCATTACTTCTTCTTTTTTTGCAAAAGTATCCATATTAAATAAATTATTTTATATTTTTTTAATGTGAAACAGTGAAATACTCTATTAAATAAAGATAAATATAAAAATATAGAATTAATTTT